TGATCGACAGTATCGAATGCTGCACTGAGGTCAAATAGTACCAGCACTGTGGTTCTTCCGCAAACCCTAATTTATACGAAGGTCATTAAACACCTTGATAAGGGCGGTCTCTGTACTGTGGTGACCACGGAAACCTGACTGGAACACGTCAAAGCGGCTGGTCATATCTAAGAAAGTGTTTAACTGTTGAAACACTGCTTTTTCAATAATCTTACTGATAAAGGGGAGGTTTGATGTTGGCCTGTAGTTCTGGAGTAGTAGTTTGTCTAAACTGTTCTTTTTCAGTTTAGGGTTTGACAAGCAAATACGTGAATAATGAAAAATGATCCTAACAACTCACCCTGATAAGGAAATATTTTTAGTTACCTTAAAAAAAAAACATGTATGTCCAAAAACCCATCCATGTATGTCAACAACCAGGATATGAAAATAGAAGGAAAAATTTGAAGCACTGTGTCAAAAATCTCTCAGCATCATTGATCAGTGGAATAAACGATGATGTAATATTAATCAGGGATTTAAAGTAATCAGAATCAAAACTTCACAGACCAAATGACCACACTTTCAGCATCTAACTAAAATTTGGGTTACATCTAATTAAATGAAGGCTGTTTAAGTTTCCGTTCCGCACATTTTTAAAATTTACATTAAACTTCTACTTTCATCCCTACCTTGGATGGATAAACCATCCATCCAAACCTACCAATCATTCAGTCACATTAGGGGACGTCACAGGACAGGCCGGGCCATTGTCCACCAGAAAACCCTACCTTCTCTAAAAGGTAGTAAAAACCAGGTTGACCCCAGGGAAATCCTGCTCATGGCCAGTCTGAGCAAGAACACCCCATTTTGAATCTGATGATTACCATCACCATCTAATTTAAAGACCTTTGAAGCCAATTAGGTCCTGAGAACATTTAACCCTGTTTTAAATGTTTTAACATTTAATTCATGGATAATTTAAATTACTTTTTGAAACTATTGTAATTCTTAGTCCTGCAGCTCATCACAGTGTGTAGTTTTTTTCTACACACAGCAGTTATAAGTGCATTTTTATTATTTTATTTGAATCTGCTGCCCAATGAAAGTGATGATCAATTTATTTAGTCCCCAAATAATGATGCTTGCTTTAGCCTGAGTTTCAGTATATGAAATATTTTTGCTGCTGTGTGGACCTTTGTGTGATCCTATGTGTTGTTAACTATGTGTGTGTGTCTTTGTATTTCAATGTATGTTTGTGAAGTCCTGTGTGGATGTATCTATGTGTGTGAACCTTTGTGAGGGATCTATGTGTGGTAATCTTTGTGTGTGGATCTATTTGTAGGGATCTGGTCAGGACACAATCTGTGACTGGTCCAGGAAAAGTAAGTCTGCCTCGGAGCATTGATCCTCTCCAAGATGCAAATCAGATTAATGTCATTGTTAGGATACGACAATCAGGAGAGGGATCTGCCATTCCTCTATCACTTCGAACCATTGGAGACTTGGGGACTTGATGGCCCCACACTCAGTGATCAGTGTTGGGCATGTTACTTTGAAAAAGTAATTATTTATAGTTACTAGTTGCTTCTCTAGTTACATCCATGGTTTATGGATGGTGTTGTGAATGAAAACGGTGCCCAGCTTTAAAAAGCTCCTGTGTGTTGCTGAATGTGTGCATTGATGATTAATCTTCTGCCTCCATTTATCTGTTTACTACAGTGTGTTGAATTCATGTTAATGTGGATTTAAAGACACAATTAGTGGAAAAAAATTGCAGGGGGGAATATAAAAAAAAGTCTAATCAACCAAAACTTTTGCGACCCCCATGCAGTACCTCTGTGGACCCCTTAAGGGTTGCGGACCCCCTGTTGAAGACCTCCGCTCTAATACAACTTCTATTGCAGTGCTGTCTCTGGATGCAGAGAAAGCCTTTGATTGCGTCGAGTGGAGCTTTCTTAAAGCAGCGCTTCTAAAATTTGGATCTGGTAAATGGGTAGAAATATTGTATTCTAAACCAAAAGCAGCAATAATGTCGAATGGTCAGTTATCCAATTTTTTTTCATTTTTCCAGAGGGACAAAATAGGGCTGTGCCCTGTCCCCATTACTTTTCATGCTGGTTGTGGAACCATTAGCTGTAGTGATAAGAATTAACCCAAGAATCAAAGGAGGTAAAGAGCATACATTTCTTATGTGGATGACATTTTAGCTGTTATAGCAGATCCGATCACCTCCATTCCAGCTTTATTACAGTGTGTTGAATTCATATTCGAAATTCTAAGGATACAAGATCAATTGGAACAAATCACAGTGTTTGCCCATATCCCAGGCATACATTTCAAGTGATATTACACAATTTAAATTTAAGTCGATTTCTTCAGGTATGAAATATTGGGTCTACATCTTCATTCCAATTTAGAGGAAATAATGCTACTAAATATGTAACCGCTTCATTCAAAAAATAAGAATTAATCTTAACAAAACGGAAAAATTGAAACTCTCTTTATGGGGAAAGGTGAATGTAATAAAAAAAAGGGTGTTAGCCCTGCTGTTTAATTATTTGTCCATGATGGTACCTGTTGACATTACTTCACAGGTATACAAACAGTATGAGATTTGTGTCAAGGACTTCCTCTGGGATAAGATGAAACCCAGAATTAGCTATAAGAAAATGTGGTTTGTAGGGGACATGGTGGCATGGCCCTGCCAAATGTAAGACTATATAATCTTGCTGTTGAAATATCTGGGTTGTTTAAATATTTTGAAAAAGGAGAAACCAAGCTGAGTTGGATGAATATTCAGGAGGAATTAGTAAACCCTTTCAGACCAATAATGTCCTTATAATAAAAACCTATAATAAACAGCTTTTTCCCACAAATCCAGTATTAGCACATTCCAAATTAGCACAGAGGGAGATGCATAAAGTATTAAGGATGTCGCATTTAAAACAGTTGTACTCGTCATTGTGTTTTAATCCATCCATCTGTACTGGAAGAAAAACTGTTTACTGGGAACAATGGCTTGTGAAGTGAATACGCATTGTGGATGATTTGTATGCAGATAGGGTTATTATGTCTTTTTCAAATTGTCATGATGGGTCTCATTGACTTACCCACATGCAGAACACCACAGGAGACTGGATAAAAGTTCAAAGGTTTATTGAAATAAACACA